TCGAAAATAAAATCATCGCCTACGGATACAGTCGAGGAACATTTTGATGCAGAAGTGCAGATCCAACCTGTATCAAATTAATACATCGCATTGTTCATCTGGATACAGTACTACCTAGAATGGTAGCTCGCCGGACCATTGAAGGATGGATTGAGATTGCAGGCGCTTGTTTATAGGATCCATTGCCACATGAAGATCTTCGCCATTTTCTGTTCTTTTTCTAGAGAAAACCAGTCGTATTACATACTCGACTGGTAAAATATAGTTTAGGTGCAGCGAAAGAAACACAATGCATTGTTTGGAACGAAAAATTGTGCGGTTCTACAATGCACCCTCTAAAACAAATAATAAACTTGTACTTGAGTGATAGTTACCGAACGGAATCTCAGTTCGTTTGGGGTCCGAATCGGATTTTCAACATTTCAAAATTTGGTATTCCTACCGAATTTCGAAATTTTCGGTTGCAATCCGAACGAATCCATTTTTTGAATTTCCGAAATTCGGTATGTCGACCAAACTTTAGTTTTCGCTAAACGTCCGCTGAATTCATAATCAGCAAAATCAGTCCAAAGCCAATCGTTATTTTTATAATTTTCTTCAACATTTGCTGCTTCGTCGGAAAATCACCTGATTGCACCATTAAATAGCCCCTTCCAAAAACACTAACATGTTGAATACAGCTCATTTCAGAGTCTCGATCGTCTAATCATGTTCTTTCTAAACGAGACCAGAACTGAAAAAACTTCATTGTAACTACCGAAAAAGTTAGCGCCACTAATACCTGAACAGCGAATAGCTCGCTATTGCCCGTCACTGATATACTGTTTCGTTAGCTACAAAAGGAACTGTAGCAGGTGCAAAGTAGCCCAATTTTAGTCACTACAAAACTGCTGTTTGATGAAAATATTAAACATCACTGGAATCACTGATGGCGTTCTAAGGCCGAAACGTCCTACGGTTCTTCCGAACTTGCTGCGCATTATTTCGATCATTTACCGCTATTCACGTTATCATTACTAATGTTATTATTATTATTATTATTATTATTATTATTATTATTGAAATCATTCAGACAATGCAATTTTCTTATCACAAACAACTTCATTCGTTTATTTTTCAGTCTTTAGAAGCTCTTCCTTTTCCCTCAGCAGAGTATTCTCCTCAATAATTCTTGCTTATTCTAACTTCATGAAAGTCAATTCGTTTAATTCAAAAAATACCGTAGTCACAGATGTTGCCTTAAGACAATGT